TAGCGCGGGGTGTGTGTGTGTGTGTGTGTGTGTGTGTGTGTGTGTGTGTGCAGCCAGGGGAGTGTGTGTGTATACACGTGTGGTATGTGTGATCACTTCCTCTTTTGAGTCATCACAGCTATTTTCTGTTTGTTTGATAGAAAAAACATCTCCATGTGAACCAAACTGGAGTGACTCATCTTAGACTGAAATAGTAAAATCAGCTGCTGAATCAGGAGTAGAAAGGTCTGAGTGAGGTCTTCAGTCGTCTGCCTGGGAGAAGTCAGGATCCCCAGTGAGTCATCTTAGAAGTTGAAAAGTTTTCAGGCTTGATTTTTAGGATGTGTAAGAACGTGTGCAGCTAATGGACCAGTTGATATCACATGGAACACCTGAAGGTGTCTAACAGTGCATTTAGTCTCCCCCTCGCCTCTGCAGTGTCCAGGAGTATTGCTGTGTAGCCTTGTTAGCACAGTCAGGTAATGCTGACGCAGTGCTAAGATTTAAGAGCTCCTCATCACTTTATTTAACACACTGTTCTCCTTAGTACTGTGCACACAAACTTTGTTGGGGTGTTGTGTAAGCTGATTTTTATAGAAGCTAGTTTTCCTTTTCTGGCTGCTGATCTGTTCACCTCCTACACAACAGCTTTGTATTTATTAAAATGGAGTTGGGAGCATATTTGCAGCAGTGCACCACCTGTGGTTTTAAGCACAGTGGCAGCTTTGTTGCTGGATAAGAACATTTCAGAGACTGGTTTTAATCTGCGTGAGACCCACCTTGCGGTCCACACCCAGTGGTTAACAGACATTTCCTCAGAGGGACTGTTGTGGAAGACGTGCTAGTATTTGCTTTCTGTGGGTGCTGATGCACAGGTAGGGACGTGTCTAAATCGATTCACTATGGTGACCTGATTGATCGATCGGGTTCTCAAATCAGAAACATCCCATGGAAATAATCAGATGACAGCAGACGTTGGGCTGAACATTTTATGGCATTATCTCCCTCTGTCCACCCGTCTACCAGTTCTCTTCACCAGTACCGAGCTGCTTGAAGGAGTGACTGGTAATTATCCCAGTGAGTGTCTAAAGATGTCACAAATATGTTTGTGTTGCTTAAATGTTTTATCTGGTAAAACAGTTGATGTCACATCCTGGTTGCACTATGCTTGTTCACAGCCTGGAGTAGAGGGCGTTGAGCTCCTCTCGACACTCGTTCTTCATTAAGCTGCGTCAGTGTTTGTTATTCCTACTGGTTTTACAGACTCCCAGTTTAAGTCTTAACCAAGGGAACAAAGACATTTTTGTCAAGTTGGATGAAAAACTATTGCTGGTTAGACTGTTCTGGTAACAGGGTTGGTACCAAGCCCATCTGGTGACTCTGGGTTTTTGGCTGAAGAAAGATGATGACCAAGAGGCACTTGCAGTGGTGTGCAGGGTTTGTTTTTCTGTAGTGTAAAAGATGAACACGACTACGAGCACCTTCCAGCGGAACATGCCGCGTTGCCATCATTGATGTGACATTTCAGAGCCTTTAGAGATCATGAGTTCTGGGAAGTCACTTCATGAGTAATCACAGCATCTTGGAGCAGCTCTGTGTGTTTAGACAGTGCAACACCTCTTTCTGCAGCACCACCGAGGGCAGTACATATAGTACTTATTAGATGCCCCAGTTTGGCTCTGAAAGCCCTCCCCCCCTTGTTCCTTTTATTGGTGATGAGCTAAACGCTGTCGAAGAACAGCGAGCATCCTGGAGGCTGAGCTGCAGGCTCGTTCTACACAGGCCCAAGGGGAATTGAACTGTGAGGCCACGTTTAGCTGAGACTGCACTTGCTGCAGCAGCTGATGACAGACCTTTGTCACTGGTGCATTGACTGATAGACCTGACTGGGAGGGAGTCGCTGAACATTAAAGGAGAGGAAAACACTGAGGTGTTGACATAGTGTTCAGGAAATCACTGAACTCCATTATAATTTCTGACTCCACTGAAGCATGGAAAGTGGTTTTAAATGAGTTTCATGAGGAACGCTGGAACTGCAGACATTTCAGTGCAGAAACAAATCCTTGAGCTTTCCCTGAGTCACTTGTCACTGTGCATTGTGCAGCCACAGAACGATTCCTGAGGAAAACAAAAACATGAAAGCGTTTATATGAAGCATCCGCTCTGTACTTTCCACTGAACCCCTCTGTTAAGGCAGGGCTTCCATACCTGTTGTTTTCCAGCTGGGCGTGAATAATAGCAGAGCTTCTCAGAAAAGCTGGTTGGCATCTATTCAAATTTGTTCCCCAACTGATTCTGGAGTGATTGTGGATGGAGGCACCAGATATTTAGCATTTTAATTAAAGTTACTGCACAGCATGGACGGCGGAGTGAAAATGTGCCACGATCTGCAGTCACTAGGCTGAAACCTCAGTACTGGGCTGTGACATTGAAAACTGGGATTTCCAGAAATAAAACTCTTAATCCCACTGTCTTACAGCTGCACTGATCCCTCCCACATCAGCATGTGTTTGTGCAGCGCCACAGTGTGTGAGGGCAGCTCTGCCTTGGGCCTGTTCTCTACGTAGTGTTGTACGTCTCCTAGTTTACTGACATAGCCTCATGAAAGAGAACCACTGTGGAAAACTGCATCACTGATTTAGCATCACAGCCTCAAACGTTATGGCCGTTATGGAGAGTGTAAAAGAAATGACGCGGCAGAACCACACATCTTTTTTTTACTTTGCATGTTATTCATCCTCGTCAAAGCTGCAGCCTGTGTTCATGCTAGTAGCGGCTAATGTGGCTTCTAGCTGCCAGCCCAGATTTTAGATTATTGGTTTTCACACTTAAGGCGATAAATAGTTAATTGACTAGTTGATCAAGAGAAAAACTAATCAGCAGTGATTGTCACCAGGGATAATTTTTAAAGTTGTTTAAAGAAAAATGTCAAACATTGGATGGAGTTTAGGTTCTAGGTGTAGGAAGTGATTTCTTTCATATGTGGTGGAAGATCTTTGTGTTTTGGCTCTTGGACATATGAATTAAACATCAGATGTCACCGTGAGCTCTGGAAACTAGTAGCAGACACACTGACCTCCTGTCCAGACAAAAAAAGGAGATATTTGTTGACGTCTGAGTCACAGGGGGCTCAGACCGCCAGCCGCTGATTCAGCTATGACGTCACTCACGTTATTCAAACTCCCAGCTCCGAGTTGTTCCCACTCAGCTGGTAAATGAAGAGTTAATTTGTCTGACATGCCACACAGCTAATAAATACATTGTTCTCACTAATGATGCTCCAGTTTCCTAACCATTGAACTGGCTGTTGATGAAAAGGAGGATAGAGCATGAGAAAACCCACCAGGGAACCGCTCCTCATTCATCCTGTTCTACTTTGGCTGCATTTGCATGTATGTGACAGACGGTGCAGGTGTAATGCAGGGGTGTCATGTCGCACTGCATTAGTTCAGTTTAACACCAAACTGAGGCTGTTGAGAAGCCTGACACAGGTTTATAAATTTGTCCACTAAGAGATTCTGTTTTGTGTGTTTACATAAAGCACGGGCAGCCGGGTGAAAATGTGCTGTGATCTCAGAGAACAGCAACGACAAACAAACGATTTGTCTTGATTATCTGCAGTCACTAGGCTGAAACATTGGTATTGGGCTCTGAAATTGAAAACTCGGCTTTCCAGAAATAGAACTCTTGGCCCCACCGTCTGCAGCTCCTGTGATGCCTCCCCCACGTTATTAGTAGTTTGAAATGCTTTTCTTGAATAACTTTTGAATAACTGCGGTTTTCTTCAAGCTATTGCTCAGTGACGTTTAAAGTTACGTCAAACCTGTTGACACCTTCTTTTGTTGTCTCACAGTAGCCGGTTTTCCATGGATCCTATAGATGTGAATCCTCCGGATCAGCAGATCTGGGATACTAATTAGATCCAGATGTGTGGTAAAGCCAAAAGGAGCTTGTAATTAACCACGTGCACTGAACTTTGGACACATACGGTGAACCAGCATGTAGTTCACACTGCAGGCGCGTTACACTCAGCACTTTTGTCTTGTGCTCCTGCTGGAACAGAATCATAGCCTACACCTTTTGTTACACAAGTTGAAGTACTGATGGGGCCAGATATTTTACAGCGTTTTCAATTGAGAATAAGCATTTAGCTTCATGAAGACTAATTTGAGCAGTGAAAATGTCTCCTTAGTGTGTTTTCAGGGCAGGCAGCAGCACGGTAGTTTTCTGGGAAGGTGACTGAAACGCCTCATGTCTGATGCAGAACAATCGCAGTAGTCAGTATTTCCAGATCACAGGTTTGCGTATGTGTGGCCTTCATTGTGTTTCCCTGACCTCTGTGTATTGTTTACTGGCTGTTCTGAGTGAAAAGGATTTGGAGCTGTTGATTGTGTTCTTCTTTGGCTCGAGTGCTGGAGGTTTGCCAGCTGCAGAGAATTGTTTTCTGCCAGCGATGGTAACAGTCTGAAATGAATTCAGACAAACAGAACAAACCTTCAGGGATTTAATTAGTGTGACCGGGACACTTCTCTGTGCTGCAGTGAACACGGGGGCATTCTTTTGTTTGTCTGACTGCAGCTGTACCAATGATCAGTACTGAAGCAGATGGTGATCAACGACGTCAGTTTGATAACTGACTTTTTCACCCCGTGTTTGTGCAGCTCAGGATTGTGACTGAAGAACTACAGGCTACTGAGATCAGGTGTGGTATTCAATAAGTGGAACTGCTGATGAACTCAGCTTCTAGGGTGCGTTTCATAACCTTATTGAAGTAATATATAGCTGTTGAGGCAGACGTTTATCCTCCATCTACTAACAGCAGTAAATCTTGCTGCCACGCACAGCACAGTGTGCGACTTCCAGTCGGTACACGAACTTGACGCTGTGGAGTGTTGTGGAAGTGAGGGGTGCTGGGAACTAAGCAGTTATTACCTCTGTGGGTTGAGATGGATGGCGGCGGTTTGAGGTGTATGGGAAGTTGTGTAAGATGGAAGGAGAGGAGTGGTTTGACTGGAACATAATAACCACATCAGAATTTGATCTGCCGTCTTAAGTCTGAGCCTGCTGGGTCGGCCGCAGCGTGACGTCTCTCTCAGCTGTGCAGAAAGTGCTGCCTCATGCAGGGAGAAAGATGAATCGTCTGCGCATCTCAACACTGATATTTACATAGTCACAGAGATGGAGAAGAAGTGCAGAGGGAGCTGGGGATGGACCTGGTCTGCTATATATTAGGAACACCTCTGAATATAATCTAGTCCAGTACAACATCACCTTTAACTATGACCTCAATAATAAAAGTATAATTGTATTCATTTCTGACTGTTTCACTGAAAACTAAAACATTTTGAGTTTCATAAACACAGATGTTAAAGTGGAATGGAATGCATACAGATGTACAGGTGTGCCTAATAAAGTGGCCAGTGAGTGTATATTACAAATGTATGAGAAACAGGGAGGGTGAGCGTGTGTGTGTGCATCTGTGATGGTGAGGAGATGATGTGTGTCTGTACTAGAAAGATGATAAATAATGAATCATATTTATACTGCAGGATGCCCATCAGTGCCTCTATTTCTGGTGGCCTCAGCCCTTTAGTTCCAGTCAGTGGACATGTTAGTGCTGCTGTAGACGATACCTTTAACAGCAGTGAGCTTCCGGTTTTGTTACATCATGGCGACGCCCCTGTGCACGGCGCCTGCTGCATTAAGACGTGGTTCTCCCAGTTTGGTGTGGAAGAGCTGGAGTGGCCTGCACAGTAGGGCTGCACCATCTTAACAACAAATGCTGTCTGGATATAATTTGGGTTTTTGTTCATAAGCAGACAATATTTTGCATCATCACAAAATGTTTGTCTTCTGTTGTACTAGGTCGCTCTTGTTAATAGCATATTGTTGCTTAGTAATATTAATGGAAACAACATATTTCATATAGTACTGTTGCAGGTCAACACCCTTCACTGTGCACGTTCCACAGACATAATGGACTTGACAGATGCAGCGTCCCCTCAGCTTCAAGTTAATGGTTCTTGGCTGCTGCGTAATTTGTTAAAATTGTAATAAAAACTTTCAGTCTCTCAGCAGAACCTCACTCAGTGATGGATTCAAGCAGACTGAGCCAGCATTCATCACATTGAGCTCATCTAAACTGAATAATCTGACGTCTGGAGGTTTGATGAGGAAAGTGTGTGTAAAAACTCATTAGAAAACACCAGAGTGAAAACAGCCATCAGTGCTGCTGGTGCCAAAAGTTGCACAGTTTGGCATCCGCAGTGTTTAATCTAGAGGAAGGTCTAAGTGATGGTTGAAGAGCTGCCATGTTGGCTGGTAGCAGAGAAGAAGCAGCAGGTGGTGTCAGTTTCCCTTCCTTCTGTGTGACCTGATGGCCTGTGTTGCCCGGATCCTCGACAGGACGGCCTGTCTTCTGCTGTTCCCTGGGTTCTCTCCAAATGAAGCACCCACAGCTGTTCACATACTAATAATGATGGGGGCAGACAGCGACTTGTAGGAACTCAAGCTGAGGTTCAGTAGTTTTTATTGTTATCCAAAGCAGACCCACTGAAAAAGAGAGAAGTGGCCAGTGACTCAGGTTCTGGAAACAGGCTCGACGCTCTGCATTGTGGCTTAAAGGTCACAGGCCGGCAGAATCTGAAACGGTTGGGTCAGGTGATGAGCAAGGCCTTTAACCCCCAACTGCTCAGAGGCCAGCAGGTCAGGCTGTGGTTGTACTGAGCAGCTTCCAGGTGTGATTGTGTGAATGTGATCAGGACAATCCTGCACAAGAGAGGTGGCCCTGCCCTGAAGACAAAGGTTAAAAGTATATATACACAGCGTTCTTAGTCTTTGTAAGCTCCTCAGCAGGTAGAAGAAAGGTTGAACCTCAGCGGAGCGGGCGGTTCCAGTCACGTTACTCATGGCTGGACCTGATATTTTGCAACAAGTGGAAATGTGCAGGACATTTTCATTCACTGTGGGATTGAAAACCTTGACTGAACATTTCTGTTCAGTGTGACAGCAGACAAATGTGAAATAGTGTCTACATGATTCCAAAACCTTTTAGGAACTGAGCAAAGTATATTTCTGACTTTAGTGACTGTGACAGTTATCACCTCTCAGATGTTTTTCTGCATTCATCTCATGCCAGAACCGAGAGAGAACATGACAGATTGCCTCAAATGCAAATGTGTGATGTAAAATAAATGTCATGTTTTACACACTGGGGCAGATGCTTCAAACTTGTGTGGTGTTTGTTTACTTTACTTTTAAACTTGTCTACAGGTAATCAGAAACTAAAGAGACGAGGCTGCAGACAGTTCAGCCTTCTGAGAGCAGACACCTGGCTGATGCAGGTTGTGTAAAAATGCCAACTATCATGCAGATTAATTTGGCCACTAATCAGAATCGGCTGCAGCTGTGAGTCACCATCAGCTCGGGTGAGCAGTTCCCTTGTCATCGAGGCGAGGTCTCTAACTGAGCTGTAGCTGTGCACAGTGTGGCAGGTGTGCAGTGTGTTGCAGGAAGCAGCCCCGCTCTGTTAACCAGCGTTCTGACAGCAGACACATGACGCAGCATCTGCCAGCGTCCAATTATTTACCAACACCGCTGGCTTCTGTTTGATTTAATCACACGCTGACATATGCTCCGTGTTAGACTCGCACCACTGTCGTTATGCATTTATGAGATATCCTGCTGCAGACAAACGCACTGAGCTCTGCATTCACTCGTCTGGCTCCAGGTCTGCCGCTCCCGGCAGGTTGGGCTGTGATCTTCATCTGTGTCTGCGTCAGTCCTATTTCTGGACAGGTTTTCCCAGGAGTCACAGTGTGTGTATTACTGCAAGGCAAAATCTGAAAGGGCGAAAACGCCTTATTCCCACAGTGCGGTCTGATATTTTCAGCAATGCATTTGACATTAATGTTCGTCGAGATAAAAGGTCAGCAGCCTCTCCAGCAGCTGCACCGTGAAGCCACAGTGTTGGGTGGATGAGAAACCGAGAGGCATCCTCTCCACTAGTACGTAGTTTGGCCTGAGTGTGGTACGTCAGGAAGCTTGATCCTGTGTGCAGTGTTGATTTTAGGGCGACTTGTCAGACGCTGATCTCCACTATCAGAGCTGTGCTGTCAGTATAATTTGGGGCGGGTGCAGCAATGTACTTAAGGTGGGAGCAAGGAAGAAATTCTTCCCTATTTCATTTCCCATGTTTTCTGTTGGCTTCTCTGCTTTTACCTTCTTTGTCCGTGGCACAGTCACTAGTGAAGTTTCCATTCAAATGTGGCACAGTTGTATCTAAAGGCCAGAGTCTTCAGCTGAAACCCATCATGCAGGAATGGTGCTTGTTGCTGCTGTTCTCATGTTGCAAATGACAAACTGATCCATGTGAAAATCATATCTGCTTTATCACATTGTCTGTGTTGGTGTGAAGAGATGCTAGATAAATGATCACTGACTTGAACCTGAGACCAGCATGCTGTTGTCGTGCGACTGTCTCTTTAGTCGAGCGTCCTCCTGGTGCTATTTTCACTTGCGACACTGTGTCGCTGTTGCTTTGTCCGAAGTTTCTCTGACTGTAACATGAGGTGACTGTGATGAGTTCAGGCTGAGCAAACTGTCTGTGTGTTGCTGTGGACGCTCGACACCAAACCTTATCAGGAAACCCTGGAGTCCTCGCTGCCGACCGCAGCCCAGATCAGATACGGTGAGAGACCTTATCACTCACACATACAGGAACCCTCTGGATTTTACCATGTCTGTGCAAAGTCAGACTAATTAGTTTAGATCCTTCTTGCTCATCTCTCCATCAAGTAACAGTTTGTTCTGTTAAGTCGGTTCAATAACTGACCTCGTATCAGACTCCGCATGATTTTAAAGCCCAAAGTCATTTTCAGGCTGACGGTGTGAAACAACGCAGCCCACACTATGGTAGAGGAAGATACTGGTGTGGACAACGGTGCACGTGGATTAACCGAGTGCAAAGTACAGAGGAAGTATTTGAAGTAAGCTTCCCAGGCTCATTCTAAACAATGAGTTTAACCGTTACATCAACGAAACGACACAAAACCCAGCCTGCTCTCTAGTCAGCAGTCGTGACGACAGGTTGACACCTGGACAGATTCCTAGTTGCATCTCAACCTACTTGATCCTTTCACACAAATAAAGGACAAGGTTCTCATGTGTCTGCCCAGTAGGAAGCTGTAGCTGGCCGCTAACCTGGCTCTGTCCTACACAGACCCTCAACAAAACCACAGCATGTTTGTTTTACACCTCTGCAGGTGCTGACAAATGAGACACAGCTGGTTAATTTGTGGGTTTTAGAAGCAACAATAGGTGAATGTTTGTAGGCTTAGAGCCAGCTGAGCTGTCAGAACATTTATTTGAATTATTCATCAAAATGAAATGTAAATGTCAGACTATCTGTCTAAATCTGTTGTTTCTGCTTGTTGACAGTGTTGCTCCACAACGCCATCCCCTTCGTTGGCTTCGGTTTCCTTGACAATGCCATCATGATTGCAGCAGTAAGTGATGAATCTCATTTCACAGGAATTATTTCTGTGAAGGAAAAAAACACAGATCCTGTAACATGCAAATGAATCTGAGCAAAGTCACAGATGGATTTTTCTTCTTGTGGTAACACGGAGTCTGGGTGAGCGTCTCACCGTCCTCTCTCGCATTTTTCTTCTTGTGGGTGAGCGTCTCACCGTCCTCTCTCGTTCTCCAGGGAACACAGATCGAGCTCTCTATCGGCGTCACCCTGGGGATCTCCACCATGGCTGGTAGGAACACACAGAGGAGGTCTGCAGTCCACTCACCATGAAATCTGAATTGGCTTCATTGGCTTGTTGCCTCATTCTTCATCCTCCTTATGAACATTTCATTAGTTGATCAGCGTCAACCGTTTTGATTGGATCATCATCTCGGTCATTAATCAACCAAAATTCCAAACACCCTCTGGGTCTGTCTGGTAAAATATGAGAGACGGATGCTTTTCTCAGTCAAATTAAATGTGAATGCATTTATTCGACCTTGAGTAATTACTTTGTGGATAGCGACGTGATTTGAGTCGTGTCTTTGTCCTTCAGCAGCCGGAACAACAACGACACCAGCTGATAAAACCATTAACGGGTTCTGAACGGTCCAGTTCAGCAGTGAAGTTCTCAGCACCTCACAGCACAGACGAAGATGATCCTCCTCTACTTCTTGTCAGTTTACAGCCACATACAGACCTTAGGCACTGTGGTTTTATTCAGGCCTTCACACAGCACATGCAGAGCCAGATGTGACTTCTGTAGCTCTCGACAGAATTGCATTGAAGTGTCCTTTTTTTTAAAGTTGGCTCCACTAGAGCGACTCAGCCTGCTGCCATCTCAGCTGCTGTTCGGGCCTTGATTACGCTGTGAAAACCGTGAAGGTGCCTGCCTTATCCATGTTTCACCTCAAGACTAGCCCGTTTCCATGGATACCCGGCTCCTCTGCAAAGTGCAAATCACAGGCTGACGACAGGCTCCAGATCAGTAGCGCTGCTCTGACACTTTTATCCATCCAGACGCTGCTTTGCATTTGGTTTGAGCGTCATCCAGGCTGATTGCACTTAATTACTTTTTTTTTGTGGGGGGGGTGGGGGCTTTCTGGGTTCTCTTTCTCCACCCAGCACCTCACAGTCATACACAGTGTCAGAGGTGCTGGTGAAATGAGGTGAGATTGTAATGCGGTCTCACTTCTCCATCTTCATCAAGGAAACTCAGGCTGAAGCCGTCCCTCCGGACTTACAGCTCCCCCGGTAAACTCTGTTTTGCCTCCAGGGATCTGATGAAGGCAAAACAAATGCCTCCTTAATACCTTTATCGCTTTAATGACCTTGGGCAGGTATATTTCATCTGAATCCAAGTACAGTGTGGAGGAGTGTTGTCTTTGCCCCCATCCTGATTGCTTCTATTTCTGTATGTATCTCACACCAAATGGTTTCAGGTCCTCAGACAAACTTTAAACTAAAACAAAGGTAACCTGAGTTTCTTATACCCATGTAAAGAATCGCACCTGGGTGCAGCCCCATGGTTCAGGCAGCTGACGTCAGTCTTTCACTGTGGTGGAGCTGTAGTTCAGCCACACTGAGGTGTTTCCAGTGTAAACATCCAGTTTAGGCCCTACCACTGAATCTCAAACCCATATTTTGTTCTTATTACCTGAACCGTGTTGTTGCTGTAGTGCGTTAACTGGAATAGCTGTGCAGCTGATTTAGCTGACAGTAAAACTACCAGGCAGAAGAGAGAGAAGCTGACTGGAGTCTGTAAAAACATTCCCAACTCTCACTCCTACAGACTCTCGTCTTGTGTTCTTCTGCTTTGATCCGTTTGCTTTTGGAAGTGGGCCTCCTGGCACAGTGTCGTTCTGGTTGTCATGTGTGGGTGTGTTTGTAAAGTTAGAACACTGACTCTGAAAAAAGGACTACAGCCTCGCTGGCCAGTCATTAACCCTGTTAACTCATCCGTTGGCCCGTTCTCAGGCCCTGGTCTGGGTCCAGGTTGCAGTGGCAGAAGGCCGAGCGAGGCAGCTCAGACATCTTCCCAGCCACGTCCTCCCGCCCTTCCCTGGATGCCGAGGCGTTCCCAGTCCAGATGGGTTGTGTAATCCTGCCAGCGTGTCCTGGCTCTGCCTTGTGGTCTCCCTTCAGTCGGACATTCCTGGAGAACCACTACAGGGAGGAGTCGGGAGGATCCTCACCAGAGGCCAGAACCAGCTCCTTTTTTGATGGGAAGGAGTAGCAGTTTTACTCCAGGCTCATTTTAGATGGCTGAACTCTACAGGCAGAAACTGGCAGGTTCAGTCTAATTTTAGCCCCCTCACTCATTTTAGAAGCTGCCGTGTCGGTTGTCTAACAAGGTCATGGTGCCTGATGAACCACATGAACAATCAGTGACCTGGCTGAGGACACCACTTTTGCTCAGCTGTCCTGTGGTTTGATCAGTCCCACTGTCTGGATCCCACAAAGTTCTGTTATAGAAACTGTAGTGAGCTTGTTGTAATAAAACTGGATGAGTATTTTACAGGTTGTGATTAAAACTGATCTGGACTGAGACTGTGCTGTGATATAATGGTGAACTTCACTGCAGAACAACAGACCATTGTCTTCATCGTCCGACTCTTGCTCCGCACTCTCCCCACTACTTTATGTCCACCATAGAACTGTGCAAAGTTGTGCTGCTTTCTCTCAACAATGTGGACAAAACATGGAATTGTCAGTGGCCAAAATCTCAGGTCATGTGCTCGTATTGAGGGGATGGTTCTGGTCCCGACAATCTTGGCTTCTAAAACTTCAGAAAGATGGAAGGTTTTTGTGATGAAAGCCAAAAGCAGCATCAGCAAACCCTGAGAGGTCATTTAGAAGATGTTTTTTTACATTTTAACTCAACCTGTCAGTTTGGCATCCTGTAAAAGTCAACATTACCGTTCTATTCTGATGTTAATCAGCCTGATTTGTGTCGCTGTGTGTTTGCCTCTCTGTGAATTATTTATTTTATTTTATTTTTTTTTTCCAGCTGCGGCTATGGGGAACCTGGTTTCGGATTTGGCCGGTCTCGGGTAAGAAGCCCAATAAGCTGCCTCTGAGGTTTAGATGTGACGTTCACGCTGCACAGAAGCTGTAAACTGAACTTTGTAAACAATGAATCCCTTTAAAATGTTGAAATCACCTGTTGCTTTTACTTTGTTTTAGTATCTCTTTAGTTCCTCCTCAGGCTTTTACGCATAATATTATCTCATAGTGTCGAGTGCATTTCAGTTTGGGTGCTTCCTCCTTTTATTCTTAGGAGAGACAGTATATGTGTTTGTACACCTGCCTTTTTAAAATGTAATGTAACTTTACCTGTTGCTTTACACTTAGCATGACCTTAAATTAAAATATGGGGGTGTCAGGAAATGCCACACCATATCATTACACAACTGTGTGTGTGTGTGTGTAGTCTTGCAGGCTATGTGGAGGTTCTGGCTTCTAAACTGGGGATGCAGGTTCCAGATCTGACACCAAAGCAGGCGGACATGTGGCAGACCAGGCTCAGCTCTCACATGGTGAGATTCTCATATTTGTTTCATTCTTTTTGGGGGGGGCATTATGCTACATAGCTGATGATAAAGGGAGGTAGGGATGAGGAAGGACGTACAACAAAGGTCCCCGGCTGCAGCCAAACCGAGGATGTTGCAGTGAATGGTCAGTGCCTTAACCCCGTGGCAACCAGGGTGCCTAGAGGTTTCTTTAAACTATTTGTGGGAAACATTTAATATCTCCAGTAGCAACTAAAACATGCTACAGACAAGGAGCCTTTAACCACATACAGACAGGTGACAAAGGGAAGAAATTACAGGGAATGTGCCAAAATAGAAATGACAGTAAACTGGCGCAGAGAGGAGAGTCAGCTGCAGGCAGAGGTGCACGTCACAGAAAACGTCTCATAAGGAGAATCCACCAACAAAAGGAGGCTTGGAAACAGATTAGAACCAAATCAATGTCAGCTTTATTCCTGTGATCTGCACCACAGGGATGCAAAACATGGTGTAAGATCCTTTCAGAGGGTTTTAAAGGAAACAGCAGCTGTGACAAACCTGCCCTGTTCTGAATTAGCCACTGAATCTCTAATAAGGGGTTTTAGTTGTTTTGTAGTGTCGATCTAAAGCAGGTTTCAGAAGGTGTTTGTCTCCTGTGTGTCACAGCCATGTAAGACTTCTAAACGCAGTCCAAAGAAGCATAATGCAATGTATAAATGAGTTTTATTCTTCAGTTTGTGGCTAAATAAAAAGCCTGATATGATTTCTTCTGTTGCTCCTGCAGGGTAAAGCCATCGGCGTGTCCATCGGCTGTATCCTGGGAATGTTCCCGCTGCTTTTTCTGGACGATGAGAAGGAGAAAGAGGCGTAGTGACGCAGCGTCACACTGAGCCACTGGAACTGCACAACACCACCACACCGTGAGCTGGAGGCTGTTAAAGAAGTATTTACAGTTGGATGTTTCTCCGTCCTCTGCTCAGGCGGCCTTCTCCCCGTGTGAGGCAGTGTGTGAACCGACTGATGATGACTGGTCCAGAAACTTCAGCACTCTTAAGCCTGGGCGCGTTCACGTGCTCCCAAGTACGTCTGCCTGTCAGTTCAACGAGAGGTCTCACTCACTCTACTCATTTTAGATTTGGCGAGCGATTTTACCAGTTCACATTCTCCTCATTACCTCCACCTCTTCGATTACTGTTAGCTTCGGTGGCCACTAGTGACACACGATCCCCAGAGGCTTGTGAATCATTTGGTCTTAAAGACTTGATCACGAGGCCACGTTTCCTTGTTAGACATTTTAATAAATAGTGTAACAGTAGCATCAGTAGCCAGGAGTCACAAAATCAGTTCAGTAATGACATTTATACAGAAATATTTACTTACTGTGTTTAATTAACACAGACATTTGAACAAGTCCGCGGTGGTGAGCTCAACGGACCCTCCACAGCTAAAATCTAAGAAATTAACTGTGTGTGTGTGTGTGTGTATATGTATGTGTATGTATATATATATATATATATATATAGGAAACACGCTTTTATTTATAAAATATTTTAACAGCAGGCTTTCTTGAACTTTAAAAATCATTTAACTGAAAACCAATTTAAAAAAAATGAGTAAAACTAAAGTCCATAATAAATATATATAAATATAAAAAGGTTTTTTAATGTAATTAAAGCCGGCTCGGTTGCAGTGGTAGTGCTCAGCCCACTGTATATTCAGCATTACTTGGCCTGCTCTGAATGTGTTTACACAGAACACAGTGGTGGTGTTTGCCAGTAAAACCGTCTTGTTGTGTGAAATCTCTGGCTGAACTGAACACGGGCCGTTAGGCGACAGTAAAAGTGCACGCTCTATAGGAATCTCTCAGCCCTAATTAAAAAATGAAATGTACGACGTTAACTAGACAGCTATGAAATCATTCAAGTGTATAACTCTAAGAATCACTTTATAAACATGTTTAACATCAGCCACCGTGAGCTACTCGTCATAGCAGATTTTAGACTGGTACAGGACTGGTAGCCAGCAGCAGCTATTGCCTGTTGCGTGTTCTGCCTTTCATGTCACGTGTCTGAACACCTTTGGCTCAGTTTGGTTCTTGGGATTCGGTGCTGGATCTGTGTCCCAGTCTTCGCCACCGTGCTGACACCTTCTGACAGTGTTGCTCCCAGGATGAGAGACGCTCGCCTGTGCCAGTGGACTTCCTTCACATTTCTGCTTTAGCTGCTGATACAACAGGGTCAATAACATAAACCCGAGCAGCCGATGTCACCGTTTCCAAACCTGCAGCTGTGACAGCGGAGAAACGAACTGTAGATACCGACCAGCAGCTGAACACTATTTCACAGTTTGACTGCTTTACCTAGATTTTTTTTTAAACTTTTTATCATCTTAGGTTATTTTCTTCTTCAGCAGACACTTTATACATTTAAATACATCATCTCCTAAACACTATTTGTTTATTTTGGTTCAGAAATAGCAGATGTTTGTTGTTAGTTCAGCCGAAACTGAGCGGACGCTTCGGTGACAAAACGTTACCTGAGTTGTTTAACAGACATATTTTCATCCTTAATCTTCCACAAAAACAGTGTAAATGAATAAACAGGAACAGCATCATCTGCTACCTCCAGAAATATTTTCACAGTTTTGCATGAAGAGCTGCTATAGCTCAGACTCCGTAACTCTGTATAGAAGGTTTTTAATATTCTGGGGAGTCTTCAGATGTTTTGTATGGGTCGATTGTGGAAGCAGGTGATGGGTGATGATGCTGTTTGGAAAATGAAGTTAGGCATTTAGACTTTTCTGTCTGTTTTGCTTTGCCACCATTCCTGTTTCGCTCACACAGGTGCAGGAGCTGGACGTCAGGCTACAGAGGGTTGGTATTTACTACACAGTTTATACTAAGTCAGGTCAGCTCAGACAGTTCAGTGTTTAGTCTGACTTGGAGAAAACTCCAGTCTTTGTTTCCTTCTTTATCGGGGTCTTAAATATCTGCTGCCCACATGGATGCAAGGAGAAAAAGGATTCAAGGAAAGTTTAGACATGAGCTGTGTCCTTGCTCCTGGTGCCTTCAGCAGCCTACTCGATCAAGGGGAGATCCAGTAAGAGACTTGAGACGTACCCGGAGACTTCACTCTCACACACTGAGGCTTCAAGATGCTTTTCACAGTTGCACTGAATCCAGTTGATCCTCACTGAGTCACCAGCTCGGTCTGAAATCACTCCTGTGAAGCCGCTCTTTTACTGATTTGTACAGTATATTATCATTATTATTACACTTCTGAGTTTTGAATTAAGAAACAACTAGCGGTTTGTTTTGTTGACTAATCTGCCAATAATTTTTTATGATTGGCATTTGTGGCAGTTTTGCACCTTGCAGCGCCCTAGAAAATTCCCACAAAGCAACAAAAAATAAATTTTAGAAAAAATCTGCCCACAGTTCCACAAATTCGTGCATCATATTTGATAAATGCATAACTTGCATCTCTGTCAGTAATAATGCAAAACGATCTGAAACACCACTTTGCTGCCCACTGTAGAGTAGATATGCACGTGGCAGTACCTAATAATGAGAAAATAAATGTAATGCCATTGTCCTGGTGGTTGATTTTCAGCTGATGAATATGGCAGACAGTTGGAAGCCTTTTGCCTGAATCCCATGTCTAGGCCTTTAGGTAGCAACTCATCCAGTCCATGAATATGAAAAGTTCTTTTGCTATTTGTAGCAAAACAAGTTTATCGGTAAAGAGTGGAAAGCTGCCATTAGTCGACATTTTGTACACAGGTTTACAGAACCTTTACTGTCCGTGCAGTAGAAAAGACGGTAAAGGTTGTGTAAACAGGAGGGAGTGATTTTGGTCATCACTATGTGGTTCCTATTAACCTCCAGTGATGGCACAGCTGGTTTTCATAAGAGAGCATTCACTTTATTACCTACACAGATTTATTGAAGGAGAACTGGGTTGTTTTTATTGTTTTTTTTTTTTTTACCTTCAAAAGTTTTCAAATCACCAAAACTCAAGGACACTATTGTAACATTGGCTATGATGTGTTTCTGCTGGTGTGATCCTGCTGTTTGCAAAAGGGAGGGATGCCATTGATCTTCAAGAGTACGAGGGGACACACTCGGTAGGAAAGGCTCTGAGCTCAGCTGGCTGGAGACAGAAATGTCTGGACGGAAGACATTTAGGCTTGTGATTGAATTAACGCTAAGAACCTCGAGCAAATTTGGCTTTTTCTGTCCATTAGAGAGATGAGTTGTGGAGGACGAGCCGTACACCATTAGTTTGGATCATGTGGTAAATGTATCCATGTGGAGAAACTCGTTCTTTCAAGTCAAACTGAATGTTTGCACCTTGTTTTTATCATATTTGTGTGTTGTTTTTTCCTGACGTGGTTTTCTTTAGGATGTGTGATTAGGCTTTAGTTTGTTTTTATTTTTTCTGCTCCTGATATTGATAACATTTTTCATAATTTCATCCTCAAGGAATGAGAATAAGAGATGAAATGTTTGGAATCATATGAACAAAAGTGTGTAATCTGCAGGTAAAGGAAGGTTGTGTTGTGCTGCCCTCTGGTGGCCATCTGGAGCAGCAGCAGCTGTTGTGTACTGGTTCATGTTCCATCAAAGCACTGATGTCAGAGGATTGATTATATATGTATGTGCAATTTAAACTAAGACAATAAATGTGGGAGTGTTCACCTCTGGCTCTGTAGGCGGTGCTGTCCATCAGTGTCTTCTCATTCACTGCTGAGGGCCGTGTCCTCGAGCCCGGGGCTGACAGTGGAAGGCTGACATTGTTCTGAGCTGCTCTGAGGTCAGTGTGTGCAGCTCACAGACACCTGTGAGCTCCAGAGTCCCATTCAGTACTACGTGCACCTTAAAGGCCCTGAAAACACCACGGCTTTGTTTCATGTGAGGGTTA